ACAATAAAAAGTGGTTGTTTCCTTTTGCGTACACGAGTCATCCAAGATTATGTATACAGAGTTACACAATCTGTGCGCATGCACAGCGGCCACCACGGCTACTCGAAGTTAAATTAGGCATACATATTCTGTTCTGCTGTAGACGGATTATTCACGTTGAAAATTTTAACATACTTAAGCGTGGTCGGATGCTGGTGAGTTCTACCCTTTTAGTCTATAATTGTTATTAAATCATGTTCGATAGTGACAAAGTTATCGATTCCTTCCTTCATACTCGTTATAAGACACCAGGGAAGTAGGTATAAGTCCCGTTGAATGTGGCCGTAAACACGCGGTGTTTTCAAGTACTAAACTGATTTGAGACCTGGACAATTATAAAACGATGGCGCCAAGTTTACTGTTCAAAAATGACTAAATGTACATCAGTAAGTATAATCGCTGGAATTGTCTCTCAGATATGATTTTGTCCGAGGGAGAATCCATTTTCATTCAGCGACAATTCCAGAGGGCCATGATGCAAGGCACAAAAATGTACATACAAAGTTTGTTTGAAATAAATATGTAAAGAAAGTAAAAATCCAATGTGTGAATTGAAAACGTTCCCATTAGGTTGTATGGCCATGTATTTACACAAGAAGTATTTCCTCTGACATTTTTTTTTGAAAATCAGATGACACTTGTGAGACTTTCTAAAAGAAATAGGGGGTTTTCTAGAAACAATATTTTTATATCAAATATTGAATATATGCAAGAGACACAAACTCTAATCTAAATGAGACCAAGATCTTATCTCTATTTGATGCATGTACGTGTACTTCATATTGCGAGATAATCAGCCTGGTTAGTCAGGCTCTACACCAATGCGATGTACGTGAACGCTATCTCGGTTGTTTTCTGCCTTGTGTAGAAAACGAACAATGTATGTCAATAGAAAGTGCTGTCGTCAAGTGCATGTACACGTTGACAATAAGAAACAAGGTCAGATAAGTAAGAAATTGTTATCCAAACCAGCAGCGGCTTGTCCCGGAAAATCCAAAGATACTAAGTCTCTATATACACATAGATAAGGACACAACAGACCAAGTATATGCTATGCTGAGCACACAGAACAGCAACCCACAATATGTCTCGACAAGGACATCAAGCAAAAATATATAATCAAATTAAAGCATATGATATTATCATCGAACGACAAATGAGCTTCACAATTTCATATCAAC